ATATATATATATAACTTAACCTAATATGAAATATACTATGGAATGTCAAGATGTTCAAAATTAAATAAATAAATAAAGCATTATGAAAAAAGATTTTTTTTTTATGTCATAATTGTGTTTTTCATAATGGCCTATTTATTTCATAATGACTCTTTTCAGCAGAATGACTTCAGCTGTCAATCAACATCAGTGGGTTGGACCTGCATGCCCACTGGCTGATCCTTCACTTTCAATAGTTCTATTTTTTATAGGTTTCACCCTTTAAGGCTGTCGCTGGTGGGTTTATCCCGTCATGCAAAGCATCACACTGAAAAAATGAGTCCACACCCACCTGTTGTGTGGGCCCCACCCGGTCCCTATAAATTACGTTAAGAGCGGGTAATCGGCTCCCATTTTTCCCATTTTTCTTCAGCAAGCTAATAGCACTGTCAGAAGAACGAAGAAGGGAAGTTGTCCAGCTTGACCGGTACAACCTTTGTTAAGGCTGCCTGGGGTCCCGCCACGCCACCCTCCTGCCGTCCCGGTGAGTTCTCCTCCCTGAGGAGAAGTAGACGAGCAGCCTTGTTTCAAGGTAAGCGCCGAGGAATATTTCACAGTGGCGTGTTGCTACACGCTGGACGACGCCATCGACCCTTTTGTCCTTTCAACACCGACTCTCGGAGCGAATCGGATGCGGATGGTTCCTCCGGGACAGGCGACGTCAGCAGCAGCCTCCGCTGCTCACTCCCTCCTAGAGAGCATAGTGTCGGAACATGGGGGGCTGAGCGGGTGCTCCCCCCCCCCCCCCCCCCGGGGCTTTTTGTATCGGCGACTACACCGCTCCCAGCAGTCAGTGCCCTTTTCTCGGAGCTGCCCGGCATAATCCAGGAGGCAGCTGACATGAAGGGACTTTTTTCCATCCCTCTCCTTCCCCCGCCCAGATTAGATGATCTAGCGGGAAGGTTTTTGGCTTCACCCCGGCTCGCTGTCCTGATCCCATCTGGCCTCGTTTTCCCAGCAGTGATGTCCTACTGGAACAAGGCTGCAGCCGGACCTGGTAGACTGAGAGCGCCAGTTTCCACATTCGCGTCCATCACCAGAGTGGAGGGGTTTTACCGAGCGGAAATTCCTTGGTTGCCCCCCTGGAGCCAAGCCTGGCGGAGGCTCTTGGAGCAAAGATGTCCAGGTTGGACTAGCGTCCTGCACCTCCGGAGAGGCATGACCAGACGTTGACGTCGCTCTCCAGCCGAGCTCACCAGTATGCATTCCAGGTGGCCGCAGCGAACAATAACGTTGCGTTGCTGACGTACAGCATCTCAGAGGCCAGAGGGACAGACCTGCCTGAGGAGACGAAGAGCTCCCTCTGCAAGGTGTCTGACGTCACCCTCAACCCGTGTGCCTCATCTGCTGTCTGCCTGTCTCGCATCGCAGTCTGGATGACAATGGTTCAGAGGTCCACCTGGCTTGTCGGAGAAGCTGCAGATGGACTCGCTGGAAGACCCCATCACGACGGATGCACTGTTCGAAGCCAATTTTCAAGGACATGCTCGAGAAATCGAAAAAGCCGGAGGAGGTGTCGAAGACTGTGCGCCATCAGATCAAGCCGCACCCCTCCTCTCACCACCCCCCCCTCCCCCGCCTGCTGGAGAGAGTGCCGTGGCTGAGACAGCAGAGATGTGCCACAGCGCTAGCAGCGTCTTCTCACTCCGTTCCACCACTAGCCCCTCCCGTCAGAGTACAGCCCTCCTTATCTCGACAAGCCTCAGGGCTCACGTGGGAGAAAATTCAAAAATGATTCATTGCGGAGGGTGTGTGTGTGCATAATGATGGTTTGTGTTTTTGGAATAAAACGTAAACATCATTCAGGAATTAAAGTGTCTGATTTCAGCCTGACTGTCATTTCGTATGATCTCACAGCGGCTCTATCTCACACATCCTCCACACAAGGGAGCCGGTGTCCTACAAACAGGTTTTAAATCACCGCAGCCCGAGGAAAACACAAAATGCGCGCGTGAGTAACACAGCAGCCAAAGTGAATGTTTTCAGCAGATCGAGTCCAGTGGGAAACCTCACTCTCAGCTCAAGCTGTGTGCTGCCTCCTCAGCGCACGCCAGCTCACATCAGCACGGATGTGAGCCCACAGCCTGAGCGTGGCACAGTAACGCCGCACCCCCACAGCAGCAGCAGCCCTCACCCACGGCTCCGCATGATCAGGGGTGCACACACCTTCCCTCAGCGCACGCCAGTTCACATCAGCACGGATGTGAGCCTGCAGCCTGAGCGTGGCACAGTAACGCCGCACCCCCGCAGCAGCAGCAGCCCTCACCCACGGCTCCACATGCTCAGGGGTGCGCGCACCTTCCCTCAGCGCATGCCAGCTCACATCAGCACGGATGTGAGCCCACAGCCTGAGTGTGGCACATATGACAGCTGTGATTGGCATCCGTAAATAATGTGACGCTGCATAAACGCATGCCCACTTCCCGAACGTTACGCGGAGTAGCAGCGAGCGTGCGCTCTAGACAGATGAATGAACTGTTTTATCAGCAGGGGATTCACGCTACAGTTACAGCTCAAACCCCCAGTTTGGAGGAACTTTAGAGATGTTTCTGTCATCTCCAGAACAGATCTCGTCCCCTCACGCAGAAGTTCAGGAAATTCTGATAAAAAATGCAATTTCCAGGGTTCCAGGAGAGAAAAACACAGGGTTCTACTCTCATCACTTCCTGGTCCCAAAACGGACCGGAGGGATGAGACCCATCTTAGATCTGTCAATTTTCAACTGTGAGACAACATTTCCATTCAAAATGCATTGAGTCAGCTCTGCAGCCGCTATACAGAGCAGGGAGGAGATTTCTGTTTTATTTGGACGATCTGTTGCTGCCGACCCGTTTTTCCAGACAGGTGGCAGCAGTGCAACTCACGTGAAACCGGCAGAGTGATAACAGCTGTTTCCATCATGAAGTTATTAAGGACATGTCGCCTGCTCACACGATGCGACGCCTCCAGAGGTGGTCCGCTCGTTTGCGTGTGGATCTGTTGAGGCAGAAGAGACGGTTGATTGTTGTGCCCTCCTCCGTGAAAATCGACCTGAGACACTGGGAAACCCTCCTGTTCTGTCGGAGGGAGTTCCCGTCAGCAGACCTACGTCACACGTTTCAGTCTTCACAGATGCGTCCCTGTCAGGTTGGAGAGGCACATGCATGTCTCGAGCTGTGGGGGCGCCGTGGCCACCCCACACAGCAGCTCATATAAATGTTTTTTGGAGTGTTGCATGGTTTTGAATGTGATTTAACACTTTGCCTCTGTGCTGCGGAATCAACATGTGTTGATTCACACAGACAACAAGTGACTGCTGCATACATAAACCGGAAGGGGGGTGCGCGTTCAGCCCAAATGTTACACATTGTGAGACAGCTGCTGTGTTGGGCACACCAAAATCTGCTCTCCATCAGAGCAGTGTACATCCCCAGTGTTCTGAACATGGGAGTGGATGTGATGTCCAGGGGCGGTCCGCGTCACGGGGGCTGGACCCTCCATCCAGAACTGATGGCTCAGATGTGGCAGAAATTTAGCAAAGCGGCCGTGGACCTGTTTGCAACATGAGATAACGCTCAATGTTAACTATGGTTCTCACTGAGCATGCGAGACGAACCACTGCTAGAGGTGGACATGTTTGCTCACAGCCCGTGGTCCAAAATGCTTCTTTACGCATTTCCCCCACTCCCTCTGATATCACGGTTTTCTGAACCGAGTTCAGGAGGAGGGACTGACAGCTCTCCTGGTGACTCCCAAGCGCATGAACACCCCATGGTTCCCAGTTCTACGACACCTGTTATCGGGGTGCCTGTGGAAACTGCCATTGAGGGAGGATGCTCTCCTCCAGGCGGGAGGAGCGATCAGGAGTTACCCAGAAATAGGCAAGCACCTTTGAGTCTGGCCGATGAGCGGATCCGCTTAGCTTAACCCCAGATTCTATGAGTATAGGCATAGCCCTTTAAGCTCTGGGCCTCACTGGCTCCTGAATGGCTGAAGAAAAAGCTATTTGGGAGTCGATTACTCGCTCTCAACGTAATTTATACGGACCGGGTGGGGCCTACACGACAGGTGGGCATGGACTAAATTTTTCAGTGCCGACACTTTGCGTGACGGGATAAAACCCACAAGCGACAGCCTTAAAGGGCTACGCCTATAGTCATAGAATCTGGGGTTACAGTACATAACCAACGTTTGTCAACTGAAGCACCTCAGGATCCAAGACTGTACCCAAGTCTAGGAGAGTCCTCGCACACTGGAGCTTTTTTCAGGATCGAACTTGGTGCTTCACTCATCGCTTTTTTTTCTTTTTTTTCCCCATGATGGCGCCGGTGTGTAGGGCTTGCCCTCTTCACTCTCTGTTTTTCTTCTATTTTTGTTATTTTTACACTGCTTTGTGTAGTGTACCGAATCATCTTTGCAGTATGATCGCCGGGCACTTTTGGAGCTCCGTACATTTGCTGAAATGACTGCTGAGATATTGTTCAGCAGTCAGCACTCTCCTCCACCTGTTCTGTCCGAGATTCCTGCATTCCTTCTATGTGACCCTGGCCTTCCTCCATGGAGAAAACATCACAGACGTTGTGGGAAGCGTGCGGGGATTTTGGTGAAACTAAGGCACCATGTGGAATATTCTGTCAAGAGTTATGGGGCTCGTTCTGGCTCTGATCATCGCCTCTCTGACCTGTGGTGCTTTAGGGACCCTGCTGCTGGCCAGCTACCTGCGCGCTCAGCCCATGTAAACAATAGGAGTTGTTTACCTGCGCGTC